CTATACGAGCTACTGGAAGGAAAATACAGCGACTGCAGAGCTGAGCGGCGACAACCGGGCGCGCTGGCCTCGCTCGCGTGCCACTGCATACGGATCGGGTTTCGTTCCGCAAAGTCGAGATATCTGCTGTGTTCGCTGCCGAGAATCGCTGCATACTTGGAGCCGACTTTGAAACTCACCTATAGCCTTATTGTATCCACTTTTAGCTCGACGTCCTATTTGAATAAGAAATGCGAGGTTGTCTCTATAGCTAATTAATTAAGTTTCCTGAGTGTTTTACGAGTTAGTCACGATGACAAAAATGGTTCGCGCGGCAAACGGCTCGCAGGGCTAAAAACAGCGTTCTAATAATCGACACTCGATCTAAAATAGCCTCGTGACAAACGAGACCGAAAGTGATGCGTGATGCAACGGTCCCGAATTTAGCTGGTGCGGGCCAGGCCGGTGCATCGGCCGCGAGGGAACGCGCGGCCGCGGGCGGCGCCGCGGGTGCCAAACGGCTGGCATTTCGCACTAATGACACGAATAAGATATTAGCGCGGATAGCTCGCCAGCCGGCGCCGGCATCCAACTCAGGTATTCGGGCCGCTTGTGCTTACAGAATTAACCGATTGTGTTCTAGGGCGTTCGCAAGCCGTTGACGAACTGGTTCCAGATCGCCAGCGGTGCCCGAGGACCGTTAGTGTCGCCATAAGAAACTTATTCAGTAATCAGTGAGTATTATGCCAACGGTGCGAGGGAGACGTTGGTATAATAATATGCAAAACGTGTTCGTTGCATGTGCATTCGCTAAGGGCTCCGGGTCGGCGTGGTGTGGGGGGTGGGGGGTGCGGGGTGGCGGTGACACGCGGGCGCGGGTCGGAGGTCCGGCCGCATTCCGCCGCGCATGAAAGTGAAACCGCTCCGGCGACCAACCGCTCAGCTGTAGAAAGTCCACGATTACATCTCGCCAGCGAGCGCCGGCGCGGGCGACGCCGGACGAGCAAAAACTGCTATCTCTCCCGCTCCCGGGAAACGAGCCGCCCAGGGCGACGTCGCGGAGAAATTGCCAATAACTGCTGGCGGCCACTAAGCGATTCCTTTCATTTACTTAAACGCCAGTGCGCACCGCACGATGAAATGTTGAATTTCACTTAAACTAGCCGTAACTGACTGACCCGAGGCTATTTTTGATAGTTACGTTTATGGCGTACGAAATAAATCACTAACTATACTCTAATCGCCGAAATTATCTAATCGTATTTTTATGTTCATAATAACAAATTGTAAAAAGAAATTATGGAAGAAACTCGCATATCCGGTTTCGAAGTGGCCATGCCTTTTACTCCGCCACCAGATGCTACACAGCCTTTGGATTTTTGTCCTTGGTAGAAGGTGCTGTGGAAATTTACAGTTTGAGAACGTTGTAAATGTCTGACATATTAAAATACTGTTTTAACTGATACATCTAAATAGTTTCAACTAATAAACAGCATTCATTGCATAAAACGAATGCTTCCATTGGATTATTGAGGCATTGTTACATTCAATATAAATTCACAGCGACGTAATAGTAAAATCTGTCAAAGTACGCAGCGCAGCCGGCAGGGGAAATGGATTCGTTTCACAAACCAGCGGAACCCGCTCCGAACCAGTTCCGATCGGCCTCGGCGGGGCAGGGGGAGGCTGAACAGCGACTATCGCACAAAAAACTGCAATTAGTCGGGCGATTGAAGTCGACGGCGACGACCGATAATGGCGACGTCAGCGCACAGCGACCTTGCGCGTCATTGCGCCAGCGCATGGAAAGATCCGCGCTGCGCCATGCCATGTGCGAGCTGGTGCCACTTGTAAACAAATGGATGATCGAACTAATAGGGATGTTTCCTGGGTATAAAAGCAAGAGTTTTAATTAGTCCGTCAGTTAGCTTATCAAAAACTACTTAACACGTATTTTTAACTTTTTAAAACTAATGAAAATGTAAAGAGACAAAGCGTGCCAAAGTTCTAAAGAAAAGGCCCGTGCCGTCAGTGAGTGCGTAAAATTGCAGCACTTTGTGACGTCGCGCGGAACTTCAACGCACTATTTATAACTTTGTAATTATTTCTTTGATTGACAATTAAAAATATACGTGTCCAATATTTTTTTATATTGAAATTGACGGACTAAAAATTTTTTTTAGGAAACTAGCCTATTGCTTACTAGATAAAACAAACAGCAGGCAGCTTAATTGAAGCAACACAGTTGGGTGCTTTCATAGTAACATAGTTATGGCAGGTCCAAGGTCCAACAGTATCAGTTCAGTAACAAAGAATATTTTACTCATTTCTGTCATTTTCAGTATCAATAACCCTTATTTNCAGTATCAATAACCCATATTTAATAAATATGGAAACCTATTTTAGATAGAAACAGTTTTTTTTTTATTTAAATCGAAACACACACAACCTAAAATTTATTTATTCATAAACATGAATAGGAAAACACTTTAATTAAGGTCAATATGAATGAATCATCATATTATTTGATGAGTCCCTAACCTGTTCTAAGATGAACAAAAGTGGCATTTTGAAACTTGTGGTTATAATTTATTAAATTGTGTTAATAAATAATAAAAGCTAATAAATTGTAAATACATTTTCATTTCAAACTGGTTTGAATTGGTTAGTAGAGACAGGAAAGTACGTTTACATACAATATTTTTCAGAGAGCAGACGTTGCAATTTGTTCAGGTGATAAATGAATAATAAAGAATGACGGAAAGACTCCAATTCTATTGTCCTACCATCATAAAATTGTACAGCTGATCGACTCTACAATTGCATATACAATTTATAAATTGTAATAAATACCTAGCTAGATAATAAAATAATGTGTGAATAAAGAAGTTCAATTCTATAATGGCTGAAGTTTTTTATTCTATTTACATTATAAATTTAATTGATGTATTAAATTTTATCTTTTTTATTGGACAAAGTATCATGTATAATATAAGTTGTATTTTATTACTGCTGTTTTTGTGCAATAAACTTTTAAAGAAATAGTAAATTATGAAATTATTTTTGGTTGAAAAATACATTTGTTACTAAGTCTAGTCAGGAGAAGAAAAAAAAGTTATTAACTCAGAAAGTTAATAAAAATGGTCAGGGCCGNACTCCATTTAAAAAAAAAATAGGTGGCAGTAGCGGCGCGGCGCCCCTATTGTCTTGGCGCCTGTGTGCGCCGCACACATCGCACACAGGGGCGGCGCGGCCCTGAAAATGGTGCTTATAAAGCTGTAGATATAAAAAATACAAAAGATTTATGTACTCAGTATTTAATCTTAAATATGTACTTTACCTAGGTACAAGTTTATTGCAATGACCCCTACCAGACATGTTATATCTAATTTTACATTTCAAATAAGTTATCAATTGAAAACAAAGTAAAAAATACACAAGAAATGAATTAACAGAATTACTTCTGGAGAACTAATTTAAATATTATGTAAGATTATGATGATGCCATGGTGTAATATTAATCTGCTGTCAATTAGATAATATGATTATGACCTATTCTATGTAAACTTAGTCACTACATTAATTAGGAATATGTAATCACCTAATTACCTGGCAGAACCTGTCCAAGTGTCCTTGGGGCAAGTATCAGACAGGCATATTCATACAGCAAATCTACTCAAGTAGGTACCTGTTCTAATGATTATTCTTATTGTCTTAATTGTTCAACAGCCATATCAACTAAGTGGCTCATTATCATATAATTTACTAGCTTTCCGCCCGCGGCTTCGCCCGCGTGGAATTGTGTCTGTCACAGAAAAACTTTATCGCGCGCGTCCCTGTTTCAAAAACCGGGATAAAAACTATCCTATGTTCTTTCCCGGGACTCAAACTATCTCTATGCCAAATTTCATCAAAATCGGTTGCGAGGTTTAAGCGGGAAAGCGTAACAGACAGACAGACAGACAGACAGACAGACAGAGTTACTTTCGCATTTATAATATTAGTTGGGATAAGTGTATTTTAATTATATATAACAAAGCCTTATGCAAAATTTTTGCTACTTTGGGATACCAAATCTAACATTGAATAAAAATTAATTAAGATTGATAGGTGGAAAAATATTGAAAAGTAAAGATTATGTGTCAATTTTGTTTTTAGACTTACGTCTTGAAAAATATTCCTTATCTTATTCCTCAAGAGTGCAAAAATAACCAGCTTATCGTACATTATCAAGCCCCTACATATTCATCACTCCACTTTATCAGCGACTATGTGATAAACATTACCTGATAATGTAGAAAAGACATCAAAAACAATGCCAGTACGTATAATAACATATTGTCTCCACAATTCTGCTGCATAAACCTATTGTATTACTTGCTCTGTAGCATACAATGATAGTGCTTAGCCAAGCGAGTCCGCCATATTATATAAGCTATCAACATTGGCCATGAAATGTCTGTTGAGTATGTATGTGCTCATGTAATATTTTATAACTTTGTGTTGGCAGCCTTATGATTCAGCATTATGGCTCTAAAAGAAAATCATTAGGTCATTACATTTTTTATTGCTGAGAAACTATTGAAAATTTTGTTTCTCTAGGTCAGCTGTCTTTAGTAAACAATGTAATTTCGTTGACTAACCACATTACAGGACTACAGGTGTATTGTTTAAAAACACCTAATGAATGGATGAAAGTAAGATGTAAAAATATTGTAATTAATTAGTTAGCAAGTTAGATTACTGGCAAAGAGCAAAAGAAACCTGAGCTGCTGATTACAGCTATTACCTGTGCATGTTTATTTATTTTTTTACGAATAGCACAAATATTTAAACGTTTTCGTTTTAATTATTCGTGAATTCGAAACTGAAAGTGCATAATTGCATAGCAAAACATGATATCGTAAAATGCGTGAGCATGACATACAGCATGAATGAAAAAATATTTGACACTTGAGTTGACGTACGCTGTCGGGTAGGTACCTACTGCTGGAGAGTGACAGAGAGGGCATGAGACTGACCTTGCGAAGGGTGTCTGCTCGACGTGGTAGACGTCTGTGATGGGCTCCGAGCGCATGATGCTGTGCAGGCGCTCCTCGGGCAGCTCCAGCAGCCCATCGCTCGCTGTCTTAATGTCAGCCTTACTCAAACCACTTAAAACACTCATTTTTAAACGTGTAGACGACTAAACGACCGAATCGGAAACTGCGATTCAAACTTTCAAGTGTCACTAAACTATTCACAATAGTCCTTACAATCAACAAATACACTTATTTATAGTAAAAAAGCATCAGTTAGGCCACATGAAACATTTTAATGCCTCCGGTTTCTCAAAAGGTAACAGAGTGCTCTCCCATGTCATTGCGAGAAGCGGTTACGGTTTCATTCAAACGCTCCACTGTAAATCGACACGATTATAAAACAAACATTTGTATCACTTCATCATTCGTCGCAATGAAAAGTAATAAGTTGTTTATTTACACACGCGTTTCGGAAAAACTAATAATTGACAAGCGCGGCGGGACAGCTGCGCATCGACGAGTCGACCGCACTTCGCCGTACACGTTTCTGCCGTTTGGGGCAACTTAGAGAATGCATGCAACAACCATTCAAAATTCCTCAGACGTTCTAAGTTCGAAAGTTGCTCGGCAAGGACACAACGTCATGTAACTTGGAAGTTCGGACCGCCTCGAATAGATGTCGCTATGTAGATTCTATGTTTATTTTGTGTAAAAAGACGACAATACGATTAAATACAGTATTTATTGATGGATTACGTACACAGTTAACAAATTAGGTGATAAAGCCTCAATACGCTAAACACTATTTTATTGTTCTGAAACATAATCTTAAAATCAAAACGGAAGGCTTTGTGAGTCGACTACTAGTGTCATCTATTGGATTAGGTTCAGAAAGTAAATATTCTGTTATGGTCATTTTAAAAAAGCTCACAAGATGGCGCTATTACCATCTCGCTAAAAATTCCGTCTTTTATTACATTATGCTAGCCGTGGAACTAGCTATGGAAGTAATTAACTCAATTTAATTTTCCTGTAGATAATTGTGTAAAAATACGGTTTCACATAACTACAATACATGTGTTTCTCAAAGATTATTCGTATCCATAACCATAACTTAAACAACGACATCTATCGAGACACACATTTATGTGATCATGGGATCATGGTCTACTCAAAGCAACAGGTAGATTTCCGGAAAACTTAAATCAGGAGCATTAAGTTCAAAATAATTATGTATTGTATTGGAATTGAATTTTAATTATTTGGTTCCGTTGGACCGACTGCATACCTACTAACTAACCTTCCAAAGCTCGAAGTTCCAAAACTCTTTGGGGTTTCGAAACAATTTAATTAAAAGTAACTAGATATAAAAAAACAGCAAAATCATACATACATTCTATATTTATTTCAAAAATACTCTTGAACAGCATGGCAATAAAAATATTTATTATAACTTAAAACTTCTTAAATTTTTCTATGACTGCTGCTTCAACTTCTGCATTTCTAGAGCTCTATACCAAAACTTTTTTAAATACGACAATCCCTCAGCGTTTATATTTTTGAAAATTGGCAACTCTTCTAGTTCTTGGATCCAGTCTGCAAACCGAGGGTACCTGAAAAATAATAAATTAAATTATTACGAAATAGTACCGTGTTACCACAGGCAACCCCTGGGTCAGAGTTGGGAGTGTAGATCAAATCCTCAATTTGCCTAGGAAATGATGATGATATAGGACACTAAACATCTTCTTGATGAGAATGATGATTAATTACCTCATCATCCTCAGTCATAGGGCGTCCACAGCTGAACATAGGCCTCCCCCAATGCTTTCCATGTTGCCCGGTTGGTAGCGGCCTGCGTCAATAATGAGCCATGTACCTACATGGCTCATTATTTTTTTGCCCTGCCATATAATTTTTTTGGAGTGCAATTAATTGACTTGCTGACTCAAAGCGCTCAGTACTCAAGCAGTGGCAGGCATGAACAATCATAAAATAATCAAGGGGTTTCATAAACTTGGTTTTGGAAGATTTCATACAAATTACTCACTAACAGAAACCCCATCCGGGGGAACAGGAAACCCGCGTTGAAGAACAGGGCCTGGCCCTGGTCCACCAGAGCTCGCGCCTTATGCTCGCTTGGGTACCTACAAACGCTCGCGGTGTTCGCCGCCATAGCTCGCGTGCAGATACTTCATGATTGCGTGGCTGATAACAAAGAATAAAATCATTCAAACCAAACAAAAAAAAGGAAGAAGGACGTAGGAGTGAATATGAGAAGACAGTTTAAGATATTAGTGGGATGCGCGGTAACGAACGACTACTGCGACTTACCAACATCCATATTAGCGCAGCTGCGGGAAAAGTTTAATATTATTATAATTATAAGATTTTAAACTTTCGCGTTCCATTTCAATTAAAATAGTAAGACACGGGTTTTAACGCGACGTTTAAGGTTAATATTACTATAAAAGTAGCTAATAGAAGTTATTAGGACGTACTAATCTATAAAAAAATAAAACAATACCTTTCTGACAGGATGAAGTCTCCATCTTGCAACACGGGCACAGTTCCCATTGGATTAATCTGAAATACATACGAAAACCATTTTTCAAAACTACTTTTCACTCCCAAACAAAGTCAAAAATATTCAGTTCCAGAGACTTTAAAAGTGTTAAGAATTTTTTTGCTGAAGTAAGAAGTGCACTAAAAATACTTGCAAGCGCAGGGAAGCTTCTAATTATTACCTAAGAGAAAAAGTATAAGGGAACTCTGGTCTCCGAGAATGCAAAATTGCGCAAATGCAACTTTATGCAGGCAAAAGAAGTGTTTGAATATAAATGCTAGTCCTTTATGGCGCAAGTACACTACGCGGGCAACTCATCGAGACATTGTGTAAACACGCACTTCGGTTAGTTTCGCCGTGCGTCGCCCATACTTCTTCGCCTTACGGGCTTGCGCTTTGGTCAATTTCCCGCACACACTATCATCATCAGCTCCTCACCTTTTTGTACTCCTGAGACTTGTGCTCTCCCTTCAGCAGATTGACCTCGCAGCACTCTATGGGCAACTGCAGGATGTCTCCGAGCATGAGCACGGCGCGCGCGGGCGGGCTGGCGATCGCTCGGTACAGCACCAGGCGCGCCATGATTGCTCAGTTACTAGTAAAAGTAAATAACAGCACATCGGAATTAACAGTAATTCAGCGGATTAAGTCCGTCAGAGGCCCACCCCACCCAGGGCGACAAAGCTAAATGAGGCCCCCCAGCTTTAGCGTATCTAGGGTTCTTTTTCCGGTAGTGCCGGGGCCCCTGAAATGTCCGGGGGGAAGGGGGCACCATTAGTAACCCAACATCCTTCATCCCATCCTGGGAGTAGTTTAAAGTCTTATTTGATCAAGAGAACGCGGAGGAATTTGGAGCCCCCCAAAGACCGGGGGCCGGAGGCGGGCCCCTTCCGCCGCCCTGTTAGTCCGCCACTGCAATAATTAATTCAAACCATATTTAACAATAGTAGCGCCAACCATATTTGCGCTTTGCTTTGCCCCCAGATTTTGTTGCAATTATTGCACCCATTAATGTGCCACAGATGTGACCTTGAAGTTGTTTTTCGTACGATGGTGAAACTATGCTTAAAACTATTCAATCTCTATTATAGCTGTTTTTGACTGAATACCTAGCTGACTACTGAGCTTTCCCCAAGAGACAAAATATTTAGGGTAAATTATTTAGTACATATTCCATTCTAAAATATTTTTAGGCTATGTTGTCTAGATCTAGTTTAGTCATAGGACTCTTGGTAGCTGAGTCGGGACACGCATGTTATCTAGATTTAGGAATAGATAATATAATAAAGGTAACAATAGTAACAATAGACAGAAGCAAAGGCACAAGTACCAGAATAGGAAGAATGTTTACTACTGAACCTACAATACATCTCAAAGAAAAATAAAAACCCTTAATTTTTACATCACAAAACATGATTTTATTTTACAATTTAAAAATACCTTACACTAAAATTTTAATTTTAATAGTGCGTTGATTACATATTTACGTAAGCAAATGTTATCACTATGACGTTATAGGGTCAAATGGTCAATATCAAATAGTCGAATCTAATGCTTGATAACCAACTTGAAAAGAAAAAATATATTGTTATTTAATGTGCTTGGCGGCATTGCCGCTAATGGCAAAGGCCTTACGGTTAAAATGTATATCTGGTTTAGTTTATATCAGTGGTATAAAAGCATCCGACTTTATGCTAATTAATACAATTTATGTATTTATTTCTTCCGGCTCATCAGCCTCGTCCGTTTGTCATATGTTCTCACTCAGTGGCAGGAACTCATTGGACAAGCTGATTATTTTCCTTACGTCTTCTTCGGATAATCTCTCCTCACTCTCTTGTACAATCTGAAATCAAGTTAATATACAATTTTAATACACAAAGGCCTAAGCTTACTTTGAAATTCTGAAAAAAAAATTAAAAAGAATCTGTACAAAGAAAGTAATAAATACTAAACTGTAATAATTGAAATAAATAAACATATTTTGCTTGCTAATTTATTATACTGAGTTGCCTTAGTGGAATTCCAATCTTTTTACTGATTTGCTACAATTTTTAACACTTTTTTTTTATATTCACAACAATATTTCTAGCTTTTATGGGATTTCTAGCTAATTGTGCACTTTGTGCTACCTTATATGGGAATTAGCATGATACTAGCTACAGCTTACAAGGTTAGAATCTGTTAGCATTTCAAATGAGGAACTCAGATTGTGGAGTTTGAGTAAGCCAAGGCATAGAACATCGATTTTTCATCGGCCGATTGTTTACCGATAGGCCAACTAAAAATCGGTGGTCTGCGCGTAGTCTAATACCAAGACTTTTTATTATTCATCTTAGTTTTGCAACATTTAGAGAGCTGCCTTACCAGCTGGATCTCCAGTTCAGTGCGGGGAGGAGTATTCACCATCATAAGTTTCTCAGTTTTGGTCAGCTTGAAAGCCTTCATCGCCTCCAGAAACTTTTGAATGGCTTGGGCACTCTGGTTCTTACAATCTGAGTTTTGTAAGAAATGAACTGTCTGAAAATAGAAAAGGTTCATCAGATATTAAATGAGCATTAATTGGATATTATATTAAATAACTACATTACTATTAATTTACTATTGCTTAGAAATTTATCTGATTTACTATGCTAAATTACCATGCAGGGTGTCCACTGCAAATGTTCGAAAAAATTCCCTGACTTTTCCCTGACTTTCCCTGACAATTTTTTTAAAATTCCCTGACCAACTATGTATACAACGTGTCCCAAAATTCAAGGACAAGCCGACGCCACAGGACTTTAGGNTAATGAGTAGGTAAACATTATCTATCTCTTTTTTCATACGTCACCATGGGTAAGTTAGAAAGACATAAACAGCTGTTTGTCATTAATGTGTCGATTTGATATGTATTTTTGTATACTTACCTCAAAATGTTAGGCGAATTAGGCTACTTCAGGAAAAAAAAATATTAGGCGATTTAGGCTACTCGGTAGGAAAAATTAGGCGAATTGATTTAGCTGATATCTGGCAACCCTGATGGGGCATTCGAACGTGGGCCGCGAGATACAACGCCATGAGCCGAGAGCCTTCTAAAGTATCAGTGTGTTGTGTAACTATGATTCATTGTTTGATTTGGCAAATTATGGTATTGGTGACCGTACCATACCAATCTTGATGACGGAGGACGTTGCTTCCCCGTTCTACCTCAACATTTTTGACCTTCGGGAAACATTAATGCTGATCAATAGAGATCCAGATGCTTTCAACCACTTCATGGCTCCACTCAAATTTTGACAATTAATGAAAGGTTTGGGGGAAATATGGCTCTTACTAAAGGGATAACGCAGCGCCCAAAACAAAGTGGATGCGACCTGTTATATCCGGTATATGTATCCCTTATTGCTGCCCTAGCTGCCCATCCCGCCATGTCAGCAGTTTGGCATCCAAAGCCCTGTTCGAGTCGACAGTCCGTGTACAGATCTAGAAACCGGCGGTTGCTCTCGGATAAATAATCCAAAAATCTATTCTAAATCAAGTTCGAATTAAAAGTTGTTTTCAATTCCCCGCGTAACAGACCGAAGAAAACAGACGATCAATTCAGAACAAAAGGCACAATATGGCGTTAAATTATATGTCGTCACACTAAAAGGATGACGCAAAAAATGCACATGTATTGTGGATCACAGGACTTTGCCGTGCCTCCCCATCTGAACAAAAACCAACTTTGTTATATTCAGGTAATTAAACAGTGTCTTTGTATTTAAGACATAGAAGACTTTCGGTGTAAGGGCCTCGTGCAAGAATTGCGCCTCGGCAAAGTACGGAGTGCAACGCCGGGACATACTGGCTAGATTGTCGGTAGCATATTGCTAAGGTGGTCACAGACGCAAACATTCCGTATCTAATTGCTAAGACAAGAGACTATAAAACCCTCCTAACGCAAAGGTTTGAGACCGAAATCCTAACTTGTGTTTTTCTAACCCAAGATTTCCCGTTGTACAAATACCATAAATATACAAAACCAATAATATTTGAAACTGAAAGTGCCCTGGTGACCACTCTTATTGAATTCGACGATGACAGAGTGTTGTTTTGTGGGCGGCCGAATAATTAGACAACTTATAAAGGGAATAAGGCATAAATATGGCGTTAAATTCTGGTGCTCTTAAGACACCGACAATCTTTGCCTACATTAGACACCAGTCTCCCATAATCTTAGTTGTATTTTAATAATAATCTAGTTGTACCAAATACACTTTAAAATTTGTACTATGATAATTGTGGCGAGAAAATCGGACTATGGCTGCTTTTACCAATGAGGAATATGACGATATCATTTTCATCCAACGACCAGCACCAGAAAAGTAGCTCGAAATCTGAACATTACGCAATAGAAGGTGTGGAAAATAATGAATGTAAATAACAAATACCCGTTCCACGGCACAGGTGTGCAAGGTCTGGAGGAACAAGATCCATTAAGAAGAAACCAATTTTGCCGTTTCCTTCTCAATGGAGACATTGAGGATGAGTGGTTTTTAAAATCAATCCTGTGGGTGGACAGATGAAAGCAAAATTTTAGAAGACTGATCTGTTTCTGAAGACACGTGTCATGTTCGAGCAAAACGCACCACAATGTCAAAATGTCAGAGAAATTAATTTAGTGATACTATTGAATAGAAGACGGTCACAACCAAAAAACGCCGTCACTGGCATATTTCCTGTACTTTTCATACATTTTATATGGACTGGCCGCAAACGGTTGACGAAATTTTCGAACAGATCGTATCGGATAATGCGGAGTCCAAGACGAAATAATTTCAGGCGAAATAAACTGAAGTAAACAAAGTGTGATCCAGAAAATGATCTATTTGACGAAATCTTCGAACAGATCGTATCGTATAATGCGGAGCCGCAGACGAAACATTTTCAGGCGAAATAAACTGAAGTAAACAAAGTGTGATCCAGAAAATGATCTATCTAACACCAATAAAATTTTTACTGGTACTATAACGATATTTTACATCAGTAAGCAGTCCCTGCCTGCTCGACTTAAGGTGCTAATATAACCTCAAATTTTAACTAATTAAACCTCAAAAACCATAAATACCCACATGGGGGTAACTGTAAAAGGGGGTTAGTGGTAAAGGGGGGGGGGGGGATCACGACTGAACCCAGGACGCGTGAATAAAATTATTTTTATTCATAATAATTACCAAGTCATGTAAAGAACACACACAGTAGTTAGTAAGTGCCTAATAAAAGTTTTCATTCGGTCATACGCAATTATTTTTCTTTAATTTAGTAACTTAAAATACTCAAATAAGTACCTACTGCTGGATAGGTTCTAGAATTTTTTTTTTTTTTTATTTAAAAAAAAAAATAGCCACGCCGGCGCGCCGCACAGTAGTTTGATATTAAAAAAAGGTGGACATAGGATCGAAAGTCATAATTTCACCGAAACAAAAATTGTTTTTGATAGCATTTTGAATGCTGATCAACATTTGTCATTATGCATTTTTCGATAAAACGAGCCTTTCATGCTTAAAAAAAATATGACAAGAAAATTTGTATGGCGAAAAATCTTTTTTATTTTTTTTCTGGCTACTGTTGCAAACTGTAGTGGTCAAACCTTATGTAGTCGTAAGTACCTATGGTACCTAACATTACTACATAAACACTTTTTGCGGGCACGCGCGGCCAAGCGAGTAATGGACATGCAAAATTTTAAATATTTTTATTTATTCATTATTGATTTTAATGCACTTAAAGTAATTATTACTAGATAAATGTACTTAGTCTAACTCACTACAGCCCCCTATTACCTCATTTCACGCTAAAACCTTTCAAACTAGAACCTAAGTTTGTAGGTACTAGGTAGTCTAGTTGTTTTTATTGTCATTATAATATTCACTACTGGTCTACTGGTTATCGTGTAAGATAGATTAGGTAGATATCAACCCTTTACTTAGGTATATACCTACTTCTTGGCACTTATAATACCGACATACATGATTAAAAAAAGTCTTCAAGCAAGAACCCTTGACTTCAATGGTTATGAAAGATTGTTTAACTTTCTAGAGTAGTCCTGAATAGATCCTTAAATCATTTTGACTGTCATAATCGATTACAGTAGGTAGTGGGTTCAGTAAGGGTTTCAACCCATATAGTAAACAATACATTTTTATGGCTCTCCATTCAGTTAGTCAAATAATTCCATCATAAATGGAAATATCCGTAACCCTCTTCTACACATTATTCATCATCCATCATCATTTCAACCATAGAACGTCCACTGCTGAACATAGGCCTCCCCCAATGATTTCCACAATGGCCGCTTGGTGGTGCCCTGCATCCAGCGCCTTCCTGCTACCTTTATGAGGTCGTCGGTCCACCTTGTGGGTGGACGTCCTACGCTGCGCTTTCCGGTACGTGTCCAGAACCTTGCTGCCCCATCGGCCATTAGTTCTGCGTACTATGTGCCCTGCCCATTGTCACTTTAGCTTGCTAATCCGTTGGGCTATGTAAACGACTTTGGTTCGTTTACGGATCTCCTCCTCATTTCTGATTCGATCTTGTAATAAAGAAATACCGAGCATAGCCCTCTCCATAGCACGTTGTGCAATTTTGAGCTTATTTATAAGGCCTATATTGAGAGGCCACGTTTCCGAGCCGTATTGCCACACATTATTGCAGATCCATTATGTACACCTCTACCTATAGTTTTATATGCCAGCTAACGTACATAAAAACTGCTGATACATGGTGCAGATAATGTGATAACATTTTGGTGTACTGCAAACCTGCCTATTGGATTCTTTCGGAAAAAGTAAGTATGTGAGTGACTTTGATTATTTTGAACACTCTGATCAAGATAAGTGAATAGGCTAAAATATCTTTTTTTGATTGTTTTTCGAACGAAGATAATAATTGAAGACATGAATGGAAGAAGGTGATAAATGTCGGATTTCAGATTTTTCTCAGTTCGATGATTGGGTAAAGTTATGCTTTATGTTTGAGGCTACTTATAAAGGTGTTATGTACGTTATCTTTTTAGACGAAGGGAAAGAAACTTACACCTCTTTAAAGGAACAAAAAAAATGAAAATTTTTGCGAAAGTATAAGACTATTCAACAGAAGAACTGGAAATTACAGTTCTATCAAAATTGAAACTATCCCGCTACCTACTGTAATCGATTATGACAGTCAAAATGATTTAAGGATCTATTCAGGACTACTCTAGAAAGTTAAAAAAGCTTTCATAACCATTGAAGTCAAGGGTTCTTGCTTGAAGACTTTTTTTATTCATGTATGTCGGTATTATAAGTGCCAAGAAGTAGGTATATACCTAAGTAAAGGGTTGATATCTACCTAATCTATCTTACACGATAACCAGTAGACCAGTAGTGAATATTATAATGACAATAAAAACAACTAGACTACCTAGTACCTACAAACTTAGGTTCTAGTTTGAAAGGTTTTAGCGTGAAATGAGGTAATAGGGGGCTGTAGTGAGTTAGACTAAGTACATTTATCTAGTAATAATTACTTTAAGTGCATTAAAATCAATAATGAATAAATAAAAATATTTAAAATTTTGCATGTCCATTACTCGCTTGGCCGCGCGTGCCCGCAAAAAGTATTTATGTAGTAATGTTAGGTACCATAGGTACTTACGACTACATAAGGTTTGACCGCTACAGTTTGCAACAGTAGCCAGAAAAAAAATAAAAGAGATTTTTCTCCATACAAATTTTCTTGTCATATTTTTTTTAAGCATGAAAGGTTCGTTTTATTGAAAAATGCATAATGACAAATGTTGATCAGCATTCAAAATGCTATCAAAAACAATTTTTGTTTCGGTGAAATTATGACTTTCGATCCTATGTCCACCTTTTTTTAATATCAAACTACTGTGCGCCGCCACCACACCGCCACCACGCCGACCCTGACAGGTCGGCGCGCCGCCGCTGGGTAGCAGTAGCGCGGCGCGCACGTCTACTTCCGAATTATTAGGATATAATAAATGATATAATAATGCAATAAATGATTTTATTTGATTTAATTTCATGATGCGCAGCGGAAAGTTTTATTGTCGTTGTCGGATCCCTATGCGCATAGTGGAAATGAGTGCAAAGTATGATTTTGAAAAAAAAAATGTTAGCTATTAAACTTTTTTGATCTTGTTTAAAACGACATGATGCATTGACAATTCTGTCTCGGTTGCTATACCATCATGACTAATAGTATTATGGTACTCTGGAATTAGGATAGCCATACGTTTATGGTCAAGGCCAAATTGTATGTTAATTGGGTCAAAGAAAAATCGGATATCAAAATGATAGTTTCACTGGAAGGCAATTCCAGGTATACACATAAAAAGCGATCAATCACAGCGATCCTGAACACATACTTGTGGTACTCGATGATGAGACACACAAATATCGAAAGCCAGTAATGAGCATTATGAAAAAAGCTTTCACTGATTAGTGCATTGAACATTCATTCATGGTAAATAATATTTTTGAGAATTAATTATACAACAGAAAGATGATCGCCTGTTGATCAACATCTGAACAGAAAACCAGCCATATGCTCATAGTATACAAGATTATGCACAACAATAAACGCATTCTTAATTATTAATTTGCAGTCAGTTTTACTTATTTCATCATCCCAAAGCCCAACATTACATAACGACTCTGTCAGTTCTGCTCACGCTGCACTGAGCAGATGGTTTAGAATAAAAATAAAATAAAATAAACTAAAAAATTTGCGCCTTTCATGATAACCTGCAGCAGGTAAGAGAAGTTAGGCCCTGCCCATCTGGCAGGAAGAGTCTCACATAACCCACTGGTCGTCCCACCGGACTAGTGGGTATGCACTTTAATTCATTTGTGACGGAAAAAAATACTAAAACCATAATCAAAAACAATTCAAATACAATTTCTGATTTTAATATTGTTGTTTTTTGTCTTTCAGACAATGAGATGAACACCATGCCTAATAATAGAACAACGCTGGACTCAAGAGTACACACTTTTTTTGTGCCTCTAGGGCAAAACGATGACCAGATTGACTTATCATTGTTGAAAGAGAAAAAGATCCAAAATAAAATTGACACACATCAAGTGCCATCATGGCAGACAAAAGGCATTATTCAGGCTACTTCACCAAAAATTACCATACAAGAGGCGTTCCCGACCCCAAACGAAGGTCGTTTGGGTTGGGGACGCGACATTTTGCTGATGTCAACCACAACCAGTTTTAGGATGGGGATAGTTATGGTACATACAATGTACCGAAGAAATAAACCCGCTCATGGCATGGCGTGGCAGGTACAGTAACAAAATACTTGATAACAACCACAATAACAACTGCTTACTACTACCTACGCACTGCACAATAAAACGACAAGGTACAACGAAAAATCGTCACCGTCGAAAACATTAGGTACACCACAACAAAATCGGATATACGAAACAAACAACTGTTAGGGAGGAAACGGAACAAAAACTATATTCAATCCTATGATGAAGCGAATTTGCAAAATTAATTGAAATGTGCGTGCATGATGCATGATCCATGCATGCGCAATGCAAAAACAAAAAGAATAAAAGAAAGAAAGAAAGCAAAGCCGCGGAGCGGATTTTGACATTGACAATGACATCATTTGCCCATTCTCTTCTTCTTCTTCTTCTTCTTTTATTTTGGCCACAACTTGGTTTTGAGAACCACGATTTCGCCAATGTCACGTAATCAGCTTTGACAAAGTTTACAGGGTTTTTAAAATTCAAAAATGTTTAAGTTTAAAATGTTAAGCTAAATTATTTGTGTGAGTACCTTAAACAAAAAAGACATCACAAATTGAGACAACACAAATATATACATAATACCGATTAAAATAAATGGAAGAAAGAGGGTAGGAAGGAGGAAGGTTGGGAGGGGAAAAATAATTTGGATTACCTACAAACGAATTTTGCGGGATTGGATAAATTTTGATAACTGTTTTAAAAGCGGGGGATTCATTGAGTTTAATAAACATTTAATATTAGTAGGGCGAGGGACGCTTTCAGGGAGGAAATCTAATAAGGAGGAACCTACGTTTGGACAGTTGAAGAAAATATGATTAGTATTACCTTCGTCTAAGCCACATTCACACAAGGAACTATCCTTTATGTGCATCTTCGCTAAGTGAACCGGAGTACACGCATGACCAATTCGCAACCGACATATAATAGAGACAGTACTTTTAGGTAAGTGTTTATATTTAAAAAACCATGGTCTAGGGGGAATATCCTTCTGAATGTCTGCGTAATATTTGCCAGCCAACCTTTTTGAGTTGTCCCAATGTATTCTCCACGATTTATAGAGATGGGCTTGGGAGAGAGATGCAGCATCGTGAGAAAATAAAGAATAATGCTCCAGTGAACCGAAGGTTATGGCATGTTTAGCACATGAGTCGACAGATTCGTTACCCGGGATTCCTCTGTGACTAGGAATCCAAGCCAATACTACATTGATATCTTTCAAACGGCAATCGAAAAGGGCTTGTCTTATTTTTAGAACGGTGGGAAATTTTACTTTAGATTTGAAAGGGTTAGCCAGAATTGATTGGAGACAACTAAGGGAGTCCGAGAAAATTAAAACATTATTTAGTGAATGAGATTTCGCATAAAGTATGGCTTCTAGAATTGCTATTGCTTCACCGGTGAAAACCGATGTAACAGGGGGACATTTAAAACTAAGTGCGACTTTGTACACAGGTATCCACACTGCTGCGCCGACACAGCCGTCATCAACGAGCTTGGACGCATCTGTGTACATCGTGAGCCAGCCCTGCCAGTGTTCAGCCAAAATATTTCTGAATTCTTGAGGAGCTGTAGGAGAGTCTTTTGAAATACCAAAATTAAGGATAATAGGAGGTTGAAATACTAATGATTCGAAGCTGTTGGAGAAGAGGGGGGAAATATCAATTTTAGTAATGGGACACGGGAGACGACCAAATTTCTGGAGGCTTAGGAGAATGCAGGGAGTTTTTTGTGAAGATGATGGATTATTAGTAGAGGAGAGAAACTCGAGTTTTTCTATAAGAGGATGGAAAGCATTCTGAGCAACCTTAACGAAGAAGCGGTCGCTGAGATATTGTCTACGTAAATAGAGGGGAGGGTCAACGCACTCAACTTGTAACGCGTTTATAGGCGATGATTTCATGGCTCCCAAAATTATACGTAGGCACTTTGACTGACTTTTGGATAATTTATCGAGGGGAACTTTATTGCAAGGGTCCAGGAGAAAAGACGCGTAGTCAAAATGACTGCGAACAATGGCGTTGTAAAGAAGCTTTTGAGAGTAGGGATGAGCCCCCCACCAAGTGCCAGAGAGGGCGCGTATAACGTTGATTCCTTTTTCCGCCTTTTTAAGGATGTAGTTAAAATGAGCGACACCTGTTAGTCTAGTATCTAGGATCAGACCCAAGAATTTGACCTGGTTACAGCTGGGAATAGGATCACCGTCTAAGTATACCTCGATGTCTGGAATGTGCCGTTTCCGAGTGAAAGTAACGCAACAGCATTTCGGCACAGAGATGGATAGGCCGTGAGTCGTCATCCAGTCGCCGAGGTAGTTCAGAGCGGCATTAAGACGTGTGTTTGCCTGATCTATTGATTTAGATGTAATGTAAAGAGCAATATCATCGGCGTACTGTAGGATATTGCAGAAGGAATCCACAGCTTGGTCAAGATCGTAGGTGTATATGTTGTAAAGAAGTGGGCTGAGCACGGATCCTTGGGGTAGACCCTTCCAGAGTAGACGGGGCGGGGATGTGATATTTTGACATTTAATTGAAACAGATCTTGCCATTAATGAGTTACAGATGAAACGAACCAACTTCTCCGAGCCACTCAGATGTAGCAATTTTTGCCTGAGTACTGGAAGTAGGACGTTATCGTAAGCAGAAGAAATGTCCAAAAAAATTCCCACTAGGTATTCCTTATTTTTGAATGCCAATCTGATGTCAGTAGTTAAGATGCTTAGGCTGTCCAGAGTACTTAGACCTTTGCGAAAACCAAATTGAGACTTCGCCAGAATACCGCGAGACTCCACGAACCATTCTAGACGGTTTCTAATCATATGTTCCATGATTTTTAGAAGGGCAGAGGATAAGGCAATAGGGCGGTAGGAACTATATTCCAAAGGGTCCTTCCCTGGCTTCGGTATAGGAATTACAATTTGTTCCTTCCAAGAGTCAGGGGTGNACACAGGTATCCACACTGCTGCGCCGACACAGCCGTCATCAACGAGCTTGGACGCATCTGTGTACATCGTGAGCCAGCCCTGCCAGTGTTCAGCCAAAATATTTCTGAATTCTTGAGGAGCTGTAGGAGAGTCTTTTGAAATACCAAAATTTAGGATAATAGGAGGTTGGAATACTAATGATTCGAAGCTGTTGGAGAAGAGGGGGGAAATATCAATTTTAGTAATGGGACACGGGAGACGACCAAATTTCTGGAGGCTTAGCAGAATGCAGGGAGTTTTTTGAGAAGATGGTGGATTATTATTAGTAGAGGAGAGAAATTTGAGTTTTTCTATAAGAGGATGGGAAGCATTCTGAGCAACCTTAACGAAGAAGCGGTCGCTGAGATATTGTCTACGTAAATAGAGGGGAGGGTCAACGCACTCAACTTGTAATGCGTTTATAGGCGATGATTTCATGGCTCCCAAAATTATACGTAGGCACTTTGACTGACTTTTGGATAATTTATCGAGGGGAACTTTATTGCAAGGGTCCAGGAGAAAAGACGCGTAGTCAAAATGGCTGCGAACAATGGCGTTGTAAAGAAGCTTTTGAGAGTAGGGATGAGCCCCCCACCATGTGCCAGAAAGGGCGCGTATAACGTTGATTCCTTTTTCCGCCTTTTTAAGGATGTAGTTAAAATGAGCGATACCTGTTAGTCTAGTATCTAGGATCAGACCCAAGAATTTGACCTGGTTACAGCTGGGAATAGGGTCACCGTCTAAGTATACCTCGATGTCTGGGATGTGCCGTTTCCGAGTGAAAGTAACGCAACAGCATTTCGGCACAGAGATGGATAGGCCGTGAGTCGTCATCCAGTCGCCGAGGTAGTTGAGAGCGGCATTAAGACGTGTGTTTGCCTGATCTATTGATTTAGATGTAATGTAAAGAGCAATATCATCGGCGTACTGTAGAATATTGCAGAAGGAATCCACAGCTTGGTCAAGATCGTAGGTGAATATGTTGTAAAGAAGTGGGCTGAGCACGGATCCTTGGGGTAGACCCTTCCAGAGTAGACGGGGCGGGGATGTGATATTTTGACATTTAATTGAAACAGATCTTGCCATTAATGAGTTACAGATGAAACGAACCAACTTCTCCGAGCCACTCAGATGTAGCAATTTTTGCCTGAGTACTGGAAGTAGGACGTTATCGTAAGCAGAAGAAATGTCCAAAAAAATTCCCACTAGGTATTCCTTATTTTTGAATGCCAATCTGATGTCAGTAGTTAAGATGCTTAGGCTGTCCAGAGTACTTAGACCTTTGCGAAAACCAAATTGAGACTTCGCCAGAATACCGCGAGACTCCACGAACCATTCTAGACGGTTTCTAATCATATGTTCCATGATTTTTAGAAGGTCAGAGGATAAGGCAATAGGGCGGTAGGAACTATATTCCAAAGGGTCCTTCCCTGGCTTCGGTATAGGAATAACAATTTGTTCCTTCCAAGAGTCAGGGGTGATTCCCTGGTCAAAAAAATAGTTTATTAGTTGTAGGAAGTAAGATTTAGCTCTGAGGGAGGAATTAACTAAAAACGAATATGGCAATCCATCGGCTCCAGGGGATGAATCAGAGAGGCCGCTTAATGCAGACAGGAGTTCATCAACAGTGAAAGGGGAATCTAAAATACCAGTTGAAGCAATGGGCACAAAGGAGGAGGATGGGAAACAATCCATATAGGGAACAAAGGGAGGGGCTAATTTGTCAGCAAAGTCATCCAACCAAACAGAGGGATCATTTGAGGCGGGATTGGATGTTGAAAGGGATTGACGGTACCTTCTTATCTGTTTCCAAACCACAGAAGAGGGAGTCCTAGGTGACATAGACTCACAAAAATTAAACCATCCTAACTTTTTTTTTTTTGATAAAAACTTCTTTGTCTGGGCAGCTGTCTGCTGATAGTGCAGGTAGTTCTCCATAGTCATAGATCTATTATATTGTTTTTCGGCCTGCTTACGTCTGAGAACAATGGCTGAACATTCTGCGTCCCACCACGGAGGGGAGATCTTTTGAGTGGGTTTTTTTTGTGGAAAGTGTTCATCTGCTGACGACCGAAGGATGTTTGTAAAATTTTCGTATACTGAAATAGGATTTAAAGGAGTAATTATAGGGAGGGAGTCTAGTTTGTTATCTACCGATACGGAAAAAGCTGACCAGTCAGCGTTATTTAATTTGTATCTTAGTAGAGGAGGGGATTGGACTGTTGGGGATGATTTGTTAGGGATAGTGATCAAAATAGGGAAGTGGTCGCTGCCGAAAGTACTTTTTAAAACACTCCAAGAAAGCAGAGACATAAGATTGGGGGAACAAAAGGATACATCCACCGCGGTGGCCGGATTCTGAGATGGGGAGCATCTTCTAGTCGGGCAGCCATTGTTCAGAACGCATAGGTTAAGGTCGTCTAAAAGGTCTAGAAGTAAGGAACCTGGAGAATCCGTATGATATGAACCCCAAGCGGTGTTATGGGAATTAAGATCGCCCAAGACAAGAACGGGAGGTGGAAGAGCTAGAATAACTAAACGAAGTTCATTGAGACAGGATGAGTTAGGGCGGGGAATGTAGACGGATAGGATGGATAGGTCGAAAATTCGCACGGCCACGACATTAATGTCCTGGCTATGCGAGGGAAGAGGGAGTTGGGAATAGGAAAGGGAGCGCCTTATGAGGAAGGCGCTTCCTGCGTATCCATCATTTCTATCGTCACGGAGACATGAATAGCCAGACACACGAAAGTGCGATTCCGGAACTAGCCAGGTCTCCGAGACAGCTAGGAACGATGGAGAATATTTATTAATTAAATAGGAGATTTCATGTTTTTTCCGTCTAATGCTCTGGCAGTTCCACTGGACCGCCTGGATAGCCATTGTTGTTAGATAATTGAGAGATTTGGAAGAGTTTGTGGGCAACGTTGGACGGTATGTTATTTTTGTGTTGGGAAACAATCTGAAGGATAAGGGTTAGGACGAGGTCTAAAAGACCCTCGTCAGCTAACGGTGATGATTGAGGGGTGTTATTAAGGGCACAACCATTAGGGAGGCTAGAGGCACAATTGCCTATTATGGCCTGGTGCGCCTGTCTATCGTAACCTTTCCCTAAGGGCACGTGAGGGCGGGGAGAACGAGTAATGGTTTTCTTGTAGGAAAGAGGGAGGTGAGATGCTTGAGAATGGGAGGGTTGTGATGATGAGGGAAGAGGTTGAGGTGATGGGGATTTCGTGATGTCGGCATAAGACCTACGAGTTGCTGGGTACAGGGCCGAGGCCTCGGCGTAGGATATATTGTCTTGCGACATAGCAATTTTTATGGTTTTTTGTCTTGAGTGCTCTGGACAGGATTTGCTAAGCGCAAAGTGGGGTCCTGAGCAATGAATACAAGTTGCCTTTTCCTCTGTTACATCGCAACTGTCCGCTGAGTGGGGTTGTGTGCATCGGAAACATCTTGCCTTCGACCTGCATTGGGCTTTGACGTGGCCAAAGCGGCAGCAGTTGAGGCACTGGATGGTAGGAAGCTGATATGTTTCAACTGGGATGGAGTTGTGAAATAAGAAAACTCGTTTTGGCAAGACCTGTCCCTTAAACGTCACCACCACCGATTGAGTGGGGACCCAGGTCGCTTGTCCGTCTGTGGTCACTTTTCTGTTTAGGCGGCGAGCTTTAAGTAGGATGCCACATCCGTCAGGAATCGTCAGTGAATCCGCAAGTTCTTCCATTGGAAGATCAGAGGGAATTTGTTTGATAAGGCCCATACGGGTCACGTTGTACGTTGGGATTGTAGCTGAATACTTGCAGAGAGATAAGACCTCATTACTCAGGAATTTGTTTGCTGCACTAGCAGAGGAAAACTCGACTGAGATTCTATTTCTCCCAATTTTCTTTATGCCGTCGTTGATGACATCAGTGATTTTGTGGGTAACCAAGAACTTTCCAAATCTAATTGGTTGGATATATGTTGGGGCATTCGGCTCGGATTCGATACGGGACACGTGAACAATAAAAGGACCTTTGTCCAGGTCACTGTAGATTTTTGGGGAAATCACGAGGGATGGGTGCGTGTACACCGGTTGGCTACTTGGGGAAGACAATGGAGCAGAAGGGTTGTTGGAACGCTTAGCGGGCTCTGAAAGAACCTCCGTATCCAGACGGCGTTTTGTCGCGGCTTGGGAAAACAATGGCTGTGAGACTTCCATTGGAAAGGTTAGTCTATGGGTTGATCATTGACTGAAAAACCTTGTATTCATCTGAGAGTTGTGATATGTCGCTTCTCGCTTCAAACTAGTTCCTAAAATCTTTGATAAAAGTATAAATAAATCCAAAGTTTCAATAAATGTATGGCTTTCACATATCTGTGATGAGTGAGTGATGCCACGATGGCTCCGTTAGGCTCGTAGATAGAGATTCTCTGTCTCAGATTAAAGATTTTACGGCTAGGCTAAAGAAATTGGCCGTATGGAACTATATCCAAAGCCGTAAAACTTCTATGAAAAAAATAAAAAGAACGCAGCTGTCATCATGTTCTGTCATTTGTTACAGTTGCTGTCAAAAAAAACCAACCGTTGCGGTCCTACGGCGTTTATTGCAAAAATAAACGTGTTTCACACTTTATAGTGTTATAATAACAGTCGTGCTTTAACAATATTATACTTTAGTCAAAATGGAGGTGACTGATGAAAATCTGGCCACGTTAGCCAATTATTTGCAGCAAACTTTGAGCCCAGATCCCAATGTCCGAAGACCCGGTAAGTACAAAGAAAATCCAAACGCACATATGATTTTACGTTTATTTTGTTTATTTCTTACCGTTTAGTAAATGATTAAATGAGTACACTATCAATAGTACTCAAATTACGTCGATGAGTGCCAATATAAATGTTCTTGAATAACCTTCAATGGTTTCATACATAGAAAATATAGGACTATTAAAATCGATCTTTACATCCATGTAACTGTCCTAGGACATTTGATCATTTAATACGTAGGTATGTACTCGTTTACCTCTGTCTTATTATTGTTACACATTTATTGGTAACTACCTGACTCGGCGAACTTCGTTCCGCCTTAATGGCAATAAATAAGCAGACTTTTTTTTATTTCGAACGGGATAAAAAATATCCTATGTCCTTCTCCTGGCTCTAAACCACCTCCCTGACAATTTTCAGCTAAATCGGATCAGCCGTTTCTTTTTTATATCTATAGTCGTCTTTTATATATATAGATAATCCAACCCATCTGCCAGCATGGAGAGTGTAAGCCTAATTCTCCATATCTCTCTAGTAAACTAATGAAGAGTAGTGCTCCTACAGCAGAACCTACATAAATCAAGAATGATATTAATGAAGTGAAATGAATGATTGATTTATTTCATTTAATTAATATCATGCATTGATAATAAATAACTGTATTGACTGATATAATTTAAAACTTTATTTAGTATAGGGGGCACATAAACATGCTTAAAGTGTGGTTGTGTCACATTAAAATTGGAATTTCTCGATATAGCTTACATTTAAATTTTTGGGGCCAACACACTGTACGTAACAGCTCTAAAATAGTAGATTACCTAACATTAAGCAACAAAATTTTATCTACTAGTGGCCACCCTTAGGGGTTGAATTTCGCAAAATCCCGTCTTAGTAAGCACTTACGTTCTAAAAAGAACCCCCATGAAAAAATTTGAGACTCCTAGCACTTGTAGTTTCTGAGATTTCGTGATGAGTGTGTGAGTCACTCAGTCAGTCAATCAGTGCCCTTTCGTTTTTATAAAATTTATAAATAATTAATTTATACTGATATTTAATATAGTATTAGTTCGTTCGTTCGTTTCAGCCAAATGACGTCCACTGCTGGACAAAGGCCTCCCCCAAGGTTTTCCACAATGAACGGTCCTGCGCCTGCGAAATATAGTATTATAGATTTATATTATGGATAGATAGATTTAGTTTAGTCATCCCAATGATATGCAGAGCAGTGAACCTAATGAATCCTTACTTTTTGGCAGCTGAGAAGTTTCTGGAAGGCGTAGAGGTCAATCAGAACTATGCCATATTACTGCTGCACCTGATCGACAAAGATGGCGTAGACATTACCATCAGGGTGGCCGCTGCCATCGCTTTTAAGAACTACATCAAAAGGAATTGGGCAGTTGTAAGTATTTGATTGTATAAATATCATAGTACAGTAGAATCTCGATTATCCGGATATCCGATTATCTGGACTCAATTTTCATGGCTTGAATCAACTATTTAGGGCCTGGAACCATCAATACGGCACAGCGCTGCGTGTGATAACGAACACGATACAGACATTTTCTTGGTTCGTTGTTAATAGAAATTGGTTCACCCAATGGTCTAAATGATGTAAATGAACCATTTTCTATAAGTAAAAAGTTAATTATTGTTTGATTTTACTGTGAAATCGATTATCCCGATTTTCGATTATTCAGAATACCCCTGGTTTTAATTAATCCGGATAATCGGGATTCTACTGTAATAAAAATATTATTGTGCTAAAATATTGTATGTTTAAGTACAATTTGATTGTATTGTTTATAAGCATACAGATCCTGTAAATTTCAGCCTTTAACACATTATTTTTATATGCTTTACAGGACGAAGATGGTGCCGACAGAATCCACATGTCAGACCGGAACACTATAAAGACGCTCATTGTGTCTCTGATGCTGAAGTCCCCTGAAACGATACAGCGTCAGTTCTCGGATGCTGTCTCCATCATCGGCAAGTGTGACTTCCCGGAGAAATGGCCAAGCCTCATCCCGGAGATGGTTGAGAAGTTTGCTACTGGTAAGATCTTATTTATTTATTTATTACTAGCAGCTTTCCGCACGCGGCTTCGCCCGCGTGGAATTTTGTCTGTCACAGAAAAACCTTATCGTGATCGTCCCTGTTTCAAAAACCGGGATATAAACTATCCTATGTCCTTTCCCGGGACTCAAACTATCTCTATGCCAAATTTCATCATAATCGCTTCAGTGGTTTAGGCGTGAAAGCGTGACAGACAGACGTAATAATATTAGTATAGATCTATTATTCTATTAGTCTATTGTTTCTGAAAAAATACTTTATTAGGTCTTAGGGCCAGTTTCCATCAAAGCAGGAACGGAGCGGAGAAGTGTTTTAAAACAACAGTATCTTTGTGTTATAACTGCCTAAGAAGTAACCAACTTTGCTTGTAGGCCTATTCCCACCTTAGGCAACCTAACTTTTTCAAGTTATTAAAAATGTAAGCAGGAGTCTTTGATTTCAAAATTGGTATTCTAAGGCTGGGTTGCACCATCTTATCATAAGTGCCACTTGTGGTCTAAACTGAGCCCCGATTACGGTAATTTTTAACGTCTCCAATCCAGACACGCTTCTCGATTATGCGATACGATTGGTCGTTCAACAGCGTACGTCAGCTGTTTTGACCAATCGTATCGCAGAATCGATGAAGCGCGTCTGGATTGGAAACGTTAAAAGTTACCGTAATCGGGGCTCTGATTAAATATTTTTTTTATTTGATTTACTTTAACAAACGTCAAAAATCTGTCAAATACCATACAAAAAACACCGGTTATGGTTATAGTCACGGTTAAATAACATTGTGCAACTCGGCTTCGCCCGCGTGGCATTTTGTCTGTCACAGATAAACTTTATCGCGCGCGTCCCTGTTTCAAAAACCGGGATAAAAACTATCCTATGTCCTTTCCCGGGACTCAAACTATCTATGTCAAATTTCATCAAAATTGGTTCGGTGGTTTAGGCATGAAAGAGAGACAGACAGACAGAGTTACTTTCGCATAGATAATATTAGTATAGATTTTCAGCCGCAACCTGTCGTCGCGTCGAAGTCGCCTAGCTGTCGCTGTCGCATATAGCCCAGTGTGCGCTTATACTAACTCCTTTATTATTTACAGGTGACTTCCATGTAATCAACGGTATCCTAAGGACAGCTCACTCACTTTTCAAGCGATACCGTTACGAGTTCAAGTCGCAGAAACTATGGGAGGAGATCAAACATGTGCTAGAGAATTTTGCTAAACCACTCACGGATTTATTTGTGGTAAGTAAACTTCTTCCAGGTTCCCGAGATCTTCACCAGATCGTCGGTCCATCTAGTGCAGTGGTTCTTAACCTTTAAGTCATGAGGGACCATTTTACCAAATTTCTGTCTTGTCATGGACCACCTCATAATCGGTCAAAACCAGTTTGACTGCAAAAATCAGTTAAAAGTGGTTTTGACCAAGGTGTGCAAGTGCACATCGTGGACCACTTGGAATGCCTCCAGGGACCACCAGTGGTCCGCGGACCACCGGTTAAGAACCACTGATCTAGTGGGAGGCCTGGACACGCTACGTCTTCCGGCCCGTGGTCGCCACTCGAGAACTTTTCTGCCCGCACAGGCAGGACGATCTGGTGAAGGTCGCGGGAAGAACCTAGATGCAAGCAGCGCAGGACCGGTTCGTGGAAATCCTTGGGGGAGACCTTTGTCCAGCAGTGGACGTCATTTGGCTGAAACGACGAAGTAAACTTCTTAATAAATGTCTTTGACGTTAGGGCTTGTTCCTACGGAGATATTTTTTGCAGGATCCCGTTTAATAATACGTATTTTAATATTAACTTTCACACAAACATCCCGTTTGTGACTGTGTCCTGCAATAAACCGATCTGTCCGAATTTGCAATTTGAATTTCAAACAAAATATGTGTTTACACGACAGTTGCGAACTTTTTGGCTATTTTGGGAGCCAAAACCCCCCACTAAAGTGTAGTAGGCCATAGTCCAGCAGTGGACTGTAAAGGGCTGTTGCTGATGATAATGTACCTACCTCAATGAAACCTTATTGAACAAGCGTTCTCTTTCCAGGCCACCATCGACCTCACAACCAAGCACGCAGACAACCCACAAGCGCTCCGGGTCATCTACGGATCCCTAGTACTCATATGCAAAGTGTTTTACTCTCTGAACTACCAAGATCTACCGGAGTTCTTCGAAGACAACATGCCCACTTGGATGCCCAACTTGCTTAATTTGTTGCAAGTAAAAGTACCATGCTTGGAAACTGACGTGAGTATTTTATTATTATTATTCTGTTTAATGGCTTTAATGGTGCGTATTTGAAGCACACTGGTTTCGCCAATGTCTAGTGTTTAACGAGACACGATGGACAGTGAAATTTGAAGATTGCCCGGTGATATTTATTTTATTTGCTAGACTCATTAAATGTCTTATTAGAAAATTTTTTGTTTCGATTTGCCCAGACAAATGTGTTTTTTTGTAGTATTTAAAAAATAGTGAAAAAGATATTGTATTTACTTATTTAGTGATCATTAAGTATTTATATCAACAAAATTATATTTTATTATTTCTGCAGCAAACTTTATAGTTTTAATTCTTTCCAAAATGTAGCAAGTATTTATCTAACGATAGCTTCTAAAAACATCATAGAACTTATTTATTTTTGCAAATAGGCTTTTAAAAATCACTTTTACACATCCCAGTATTAACCCTACCACTGCTTCGGGACAATAAATGGGCCAGTGCTGAGAAGAATCAGTCACTATTATCTGCCTCTGTTTCAAGGGTTTCTGTCTTGAAATTTTTAAAATACAGGGTGTTAGGTAAATGGGTATATGAGCCGACACTAGCCCATGTTAACATGGTCATATAAATGTTATGGTGAAGTCAGAAAATTGATATCTTCATTTTAATTATTTTAATTTTCATACAAATCGCATTTTATAAAATTTATTTTGTATGAAAATTAAAATGATGGTATCAAATTTCTGACTTCACCATACCATTTATATGACAATGTTAACATGGGCTAGTGTCGGCTCATATACCCATTTACCTAACACCCTGTATACAATACATGTCTTTTTCTCTATGGTTATATTTGTTTAAATTTATACAGGACGACGACGAAAAACCTGGCGTGTTAGAGCAACTTCGCACAGAGATATGCGAATGCGCAGCCCTGTACGCTCTCAAGTACGAGGAGGAGTTCGCACCGCACGCGCCCGGCTTCGTCACGGCCGTGTGGACCGTGCTGCTGGCAACCACGCCGCACCGCAAGTACGACGCGGTAAGTGGGGCCAGATAGCCACTACGTAGCCACTACTTAGCCACCGCATAGCCACCACATAGCCACCAGAGATATGCGAGTGCGAGCTCTGTACGCTCTCAAGTACGAGGAGGAGTTCGCACCGCACGCGCCCGGCTTCGTCACGGCCGTGTGGACCGTGCTGCTGGCAACCACGCCGCACCGCAAGTACGACGCGGTAAGTGGGGCCAGATAGCCACTACGTAGCCACTACATAGCCACCACATGGCCACTACATAGCCACCACATGGCCACTACATAGCCACCATGTAGCCACCACATGGCCACTACATAGCCACCACGTAGCCACCACATGGCCACTACATAGCCACCACATGGCCACTACATAGCCACCACGTGGCCACCATGTAGCCACCACATGGCCACTACGTAGCCACTACATAGCCACTACATAGCCACCACATGGTCACTACATAGCCACTACATAGCCACCACATGGCCACTACATAGCCACCACATAGCCACCACATGGCCACTACATAACCACCATGTAGTCACCACGTGGAACCCATGTAGCCACCGCATGGCCACCACATAGCCACCAGAGATATGCGAGTGCGAGCTCTGTACGCTCTCAAGTACGAGGAGGAGTTCGCACCGCACGCGCCCGGCTTCGTCACGGCCGTGTGGACCGTGCTGCTGGCAACCACGCCGCACCGCAAGTACGACGCGGTAAGTGGGGCCAGATAGCCACTACATAGCCACTATATAGATACAAATATGACGCAGTATGTGTAGCTAGATGTCCACCAGATAGCCACCACATGGCCACTACATAGCCACTACGTAGCCACCACATGGCCACTACATAGCCACTACATGGCCACTACATAGCCACCACATGGTCACTACATAGCCACCATGTAG